TTCTCAATTTGTGCTTCTATGAAAGACATCCATGAGAGCTTCATGTTAACTGTTACTCATGCTGTTGTGCCATGTGCCATTTTAAGTTATTTCAGGTGAGTGTTAGTTACCCAAGTAATACTCCCTGCCCAACCCTTTGGCCACTATGAAATGGAAGTATCTGTAATTCTATCTTAATGATGCAAAATGAAGAATATGACTATCATAATAATATCAAATAACATTCACATGCCACTAGAGAGCTTACAAAGTGATTTCATTTACATTTAAGTTCTCTGCATAGATGTGAAAATGGAAGAGAAAAGCAATAAGATAAATAAGGTAGCTAGCTGGCGGTGATAAGTAAACAAAGGTTATAAGTGACTGCGGGTATCTTAAATGTTTACAACCAGCTCAGAAGGAAAAATTACCTGCTGTGTTCTGTCGGAAATGAACAATTAGCACACACTGCAGAGGGGAGTGCAGGCTGGTGCTTTATGCTGAGAATCGGAACCAGGCAACTCTCGCTCCTTGTTTTAACGGGGCCCTGACCTCCCTGTGTCCTTGGGCAAGTCGATAAGGCTCTTGGTTTCTTTTCCTATCAATTGGGGCCGGAGCCCCTGGCCTTGCTCACTGGGGTGGCCTATGAGTCGGCAAACTTCACAGAAAATTGAAGACACTATCGACAATCCCCTATTACTGTCTGTCTGCATCTCCTAAGAACGCTGCAGAGCATGACAAAGACCCTTGATTGATTACGCTTCTTGCTTTTAGACTTGTGAAAGGAGACTCATGCATCGAAATTTGGATTAGAATACTTGAAAGGCTCCTGGGAGCACTGCTGGTTTTTGATTCCCACTCTCACTCCTGGCCCCAGATTCAGGCCTTATAATAAGGATGCAACCAGTGGTGGAAGGCAGGAAACATGGGGTTCTCTGGCAAGGACCTCGCGCCACGAGGAACAGACTGCTCCTTACAGGAGCCCAGCTTGGCTACACTCACTTGCCAACATCACCAAGCCTACGTGCATCATCTCTCGGATGCCAATGGCAAAATGACATTCTAACCCTGCCAAGATTGTAAAAGGAGCTAAGGAAAAAAATTCCCCAAGATGCTGCAGTGAAGAGAATAGCCAACTCCTCCCCGCCACGATACTAAATGTGAAGCTGAAAATACACAGGAAAATGACCAAGTGAGAAAGGCCCACCCCAATGGCCTCAGATGGCAAGTGTATATACTTGTGGTGTGGAGAAAGAATTCCACAGAACCCACTCAAAAGAGTACCAACTGCGCACCCTCCATTCTCCTGCCCCCATGTTTCCATGTGGCTGGATTTTGCTCTTGATGCCAAATTCTCTTGTCCCCCAGAGAGGAGTGAATTTTCTGACTGGTAACTTTGGGAAAAGGAATAAGCACATAGGAATCAGCCCCTTCCGGCTGAGCATTGTTTACCGTAGGCCTCTAGTATAAATTCTCAGAACACAGCCTACGTGAGTGCTTTTTGATCAGCATGCTCACAGAGCTGGTGTATTCTGCTCTACTCTGGCCACATGACAAGCTTTCTCCAAGTGGAAGGCCTACAGCTTTGGGGAGCTGAGATCAACTCAGGTAGAAAGTACTAGAAGCCATTTGTTATGTATCAAGTTACACTTTTCAATCAAGCTATTATCGGTAATAAAGCAGATACGTTCATCTCCGTCTGTCTGACTTCTATGCTGATTTCTCAATTGGTTCTGGCTCAAGAGGGGAAGGAAGTATGATTTTTATTGACTCCCTAAAACTGCACAATATCTTCCTGGAAACTCTTTTCTAGTCCTCAGAAAACCAATCTAGGAACCCCCAGAACCTCAGCAATGCCTCCACAAAGCAGAAGAAACCCAGGAGGGCCAGCTGCCATGGCCAGGCATACATTTCCTGTGAGGGAAGTGCTTTTACAGGTCTGCTGAAGTTTTTGAAGTTCGGAAACTGTCCGTGAAAGAAAAATGAATGGTACCCAGCTGCACGATTTCAGGCTGCATTTTTATTAGAGGCTTCTAGTATAAATCACCCCAACAAAGCCTGTATGAGTTGCCGGAATGTCAGAGACAAAACAGTGTCACAGAATACTGTTAGGGAATTTTCTTAACTAATTACAACATATTTCTTAACTCACTACATATTTCTATCAACAAAAGAGACCCCTAAGCTTCCATCCTCCTGGGCATCTATGGTAATATGTTTATATTTTATTTTATACACAGTCCCACCTCACTTTCTAGACTTAGAGAATTTTAGGTGCAGTAATGTATCAAATTCATTTAAACAGTTAAGAATTCTAAGTATAGCACTATCTCCTCAAACATGGGCCCGTTGCTATTGAGCTGTCTCCCAAACAAGCACATTATTTTGAGGGGAAAACAAACCTGCATGAGGGATGAGGAAATGTGAGAAAAACCCTTTCCAAACACAATACTGAAGGTATCTTCCTCAGGAGTGAGTCTCTAGGGAGATGAGCATGCTGCCTAGAAACATTCTCTTACCAGGAAAGGCGTGCAGGGCCAGGTCAGAGAGATGCTCTGCAGGCCCAGGGGAGTCACGGGGAAAGGCGGCCAGACCAGGTCCCTGAGGCTCCCCCTGGGTTCCTCCCCCCACAGCCAGCTGCTCTGCTTAATTCTAGTCTATTGCTTTTTAGTGCTCCCTGACAGTAACGAGATGGCATCATCATTGCCACACAGAGGGAAGGGAATGATTCATTAAAAATATTTTTTTTTTGGAAATGATAGTTTTAAAGGCAATGGGTTAGAGTGTGCAACCCTGCACAACTCGGGGAAAATTTGGAAGGAGCGCAATCATTTGATCTGTGCCTGTCACAAGAGGACAGATAAAATGAGCTGGGATGTATACAGTGGTCAGCCTCAAGTGGTGTGCAGAACTGCAATATACACAAAACAACAAAGAAGAACCGCAATTAGAAGGGAAGGCCATCTTAGTGATACAGCAGAGGATGCCAGAGAGAGGTGGAAAGATGCCTCTGTTGGCCCATTCGGAGTCTGTGAGTCATCCGCATTTACAGCCTTGGCCGCAGCCCCAGCTACATGGCCGCATTCTGTAAGGATTCAATCTTAATCAAGTCTCAGCCCAGACTTTAGGTGAAAACAAAACAAAAAAGTCAGCTCTGAGAACTGACTGTCATAAGTCTGCTCTCAGGCAGGCTTGGGGTTCAAGTTNTTTTTTCAAAACTCCGCCAACTAAAGGAAAATATATAATAAAAAAATATTTCCGATGAATACACTGGACCAGTCATTCCTTGGGTTTAAGTGAAAATGAGTAGATAAATGACTAGTTAATGCATATTTTGATTGACTTTTTTCTCCATTTTGACTACTTCTTAACTTTCAATAACCACAATCATTATTGACCTTACACTGTATATCATGTGACATATGCTGCTTCCTTTGACTGGACTCTTCCTCCTTCATGTATCTGCCTAACTTCCACCTGGCTTCTCAGACAGCTCAAACCCTCCCTCTTCCAACAACCCTCTCTGAACCAACCACATCCCTACCCCAATTTCTCACAATAGTCCTTCTCTTACTGAATGAGGTGTTCCTCCTCTGGGTTCCAGAACCATGCTCTGCATATTACCTTCACAGGAGTAATCACACAGCGCTCTGTTTATAAGACACATCTCCCCCACCAGTCTGTGAACCCAAAGGCAAGGATCATCACCCATCTTTATTTTCCAGTTTATATCACAGTGTCTGGTATTAATAGACAGTCTATAATGTGTGTGAAATGAGTAAACAAATGTATGACCAATCAGATGACATTTAGGCTTAGAAACAGAATTACAGAGACGGGTCTTTAGAAAACATTTAGTCCACCCCACTTCATCTAAAAGTCCCTTAACAAGTATTTCCTAAGAGTTGTGCCAAGATAATAAAATAAGGAAATCATTATCTATGTTCAATAAAACAAATATTTTCTAACAAGAATAGGATGAAATAAAAACCTTACCGGCAAAGTTCCAGGCAGAGATGCATCAAAAAAAGACACCAAAGAATTTGGAGGTGCTGCAAAGTGCACTTGAGATCCAGAGAAAAGTTTAGAGTTGGAGGAAATCTGGGCATGAATTTCCAAACCTACTACAGCTGCCCATTCATGTTCACTAAAGAAAGATACAATGGTTAAGAAGTAGTTAGACCTGTGCATATACATAAATTTCTATGAGCCTAAACCACAAATGTTAATTTCCTATTTGTGTTTTTAACTCATTAAAATGTTACATCCTTCCATTAAAAAATGTGTCATATTGTATTAGTGACTAAATCAAAAGCAACTCACAATGAACACTTACAAGACCGGTAAAATAAAATTCAATTACAACATCACATAAGGAGATTTCACTGTACAAACAGGGAGGTGATAGAGAAAGGAACAATTTGGCTATCAGGTGGCAACTGCTTGGCTGACCAGTGAAAAGCAGCCTTTTCTAAATTAACTGTCTTTCATCGATTAGTTCAGCAAATGAAGAAAGCTGATCTTGCGAACATTTTCAGAATTCATATAACATCAATATTCTACTACTAGAAATAATGATAAATAGTTGCACATTTCATTATTTGAAAAGGAAGGGAAACTCTGTCATATTTTGAATTCATTTGATAACAATGGGTAAAATGACCGGAGTGACAGATACAATTGATCACTACTAAATGATACTCTTCCGCAAACTCTGTGCAAAGAAAACCATTAAACCATCAGATGTGGCATTTTTTTGGTCCCCAAAATCACTTTCAAGTCCGGAGATCTAGTTTCAGATTCCTTTGTTTATGCTTGATCACTATCAAATCTAAGAAGCTATTAAACACTATAATAATCTTTCTTCTCTGGCCACTTCTACTCTATTGGGTCTCTATGAACATTCCATACACAAGTGTCTCCAGGTTCTTATAAGTGTCCCTCTGAAACTTATATATCCCAGGCAATTTGTAAACGGCCTGTTTACACATACTTTCTCCATATTTTGTTTGTTCCTATCCTACTGTTCTTCCAAGCAACTTTCTATATTATCTAGATTTTTGTTTACATGTATTGGATTTTGTTTCAATCATTTCAACACATGATGTTCTATGTTTATAGTATTGAGATTAATTCCTCCTTTTTAAAGTTTGGAAGCACAGCTTGTAATTTAAAGGAATTAAATGAAGAGATCATTAGGAATTTGGCATTCACGAAAACATTATCCAAAGTATTTTTGCAGTTGCATTACATGGGAGGAAAAAAAAAACCTTTCCATTCACAGTGAGACGATCTAATTTATGAAAATAGAAACTGAATACTTCTGGGCATTTTCCCTCTCTCCCTCCAACTGAAAAGCAAAAGTAATGCCAACCTAACTATGTGAAAGGATAAACAGAATATTGGACAAGTGTATTTAGAAACAAACTAAAGTTTTATATAGTGAAGTGTAAGCAGCTGTTCAGAGGCTATCTAACAAAATAAGCAAAACCGTCTACACAACCAGAGGGACGATTTCTTGTATTGGCTGCATCCTCTTGGGTCCAGCTACAAAGGTTCGACATGAGATGCCTCCACAAATAGGTGGTGTTTTCTGACTGCTGACATTACACCACCACTATTCATAACTGGTAGGTCAAGTCTTCCCTTTCTACCTTTAGAGCACTGCTGGCCCGTTGGAGCGCTAAATAAACGTCAGCTACATAAGATCCGGCTTCTAGTTTCACCAACCCCATTGCTGGTGCTATCAGTAGGTGACTGAAACCACTCTCTTGACTATGTGGCTTTCAAGAAAACACCTGCGACTTTATACTTGCGAATTTCCCAATATCGCTACTTGAGAAGCGTGGTTTATGTGTGAGGCCGGGGCTGACAGAGGGCCACCTGTTTTGTGCTTTCAGGGCTGCAAGTTACAGCCCAACAACCTCCCCCTCATCAAAACGTCTAAACTGAAGGTTGGGCTGTAGCGGCCATCATCCATCTCCCCAGTCCCGCCGCTGTTCCGCCTCACACTTCCGTGGGGAGTAATGGTATGAAATAGTAGTATACCCTTTCCTCGGCTTCTCGGCCGTGATGAGGGGCTGCTGAACCCCTGAGCTCTGTCCCCTTTTCCCGCTGGACCTGGACCCAGTCGGTGTCCCTGTTTCGTGGCGAGAACCGCGGTTAATATAGGCTAAAGACCAACGCCTTCCAGGGCATAAACGGCACAGCACGGGCGCCGCCATTGTCCCTCCGAGCCGGGATCAGGTGACACAGCCTCCCGCTGCCGCGAGGCTCTCTGGGAAGCGTAGTTCTAGAAATGGATAAAGCGCTACAGGCTCCGACCGGAAGACTACTATTCCCGGTGAGCACTGAGAATTAAAGGCCGCCGGAACCCTGGCGGGGAGAGGGGGGGGAAGGAGAAATAGAGGAGAGCGTGCGTAGGAGGGTTTCCGGGTCGGAAGGTGTGACTCCTCCTAGCGGGGAATTGAAGAGCTTCGTGGCTGTGAGCATGTGTATGAGCTTGAGTAAGAGCAGGTGGTGCGGGAGGTCCAAAGCTGAAAAACGTGGCCGGGATTTTATACCCCAGTTCACCATTTGAGCTTTCCTGAAGACTTGCCTGAACCCCCAGAACCACTCAGTTATTTTCTCCGTCTTACTGTCCCGTTTCACGCACCAGTTTGTGCATTAACGCAACAAATACTTATTTGCATGCCTCCTATATGCCAGGCACTGTTCTTAGGCTTTGGGGATGCAACAGTGAACAAGACAGTTATGGCCCCTATGCTCATGGAGCTTAAATTCTAGGGAGAGGAGACTGAAAATTAACAAAAATTGGATAGTTTTCTTGCAGGTATTAAGTGCTATATTTAAGCAGATGTGCTTGAAGACAAACAGACCTAGGTTGAGCCTTCAGTTGCATTTTAATTTACATTTACGGGCATAACTCGTTTTATTGCTTTGTTGCACTTAACAGGTGTTGCTTTTTTTTTTTNATATATATATATATATATATGTATGTTCTATTTGAAGTACCATCAAGTGGCCCAAGAAAAGATCCATAAGCTGCTTTTTAGAACCTTATATTCAAACACGGAAATTCCTATAAACAACATGGTCCATCAACTGTGTGAAACAAATACATATTGATACAAACTAGAAGCATTATAATTAATACAGTTAGATCTCATGTGGGTGAATACTGCGTGTAAGATAGGCAGAGAGGTGGGGGAAGTGAAGGTGACTGTGAAGAGGGAGGCTTTCAAGGATCCACTGAAAGCTGGAATAATCATCGGTGGCAGGGAAGGAGGCCAAGGGTTTCCACATGAGGGGAAGTGAGGTCACACTGTCTACTGATTGTGAAAATCCATCACTGTCATGAGTCATCTGAGTTCATGGGAGATATCCAGTTACTGACATCATAAGGCAAGTGAGGACCATCAGAAGAGTTTAAGAGCAGAAAGGGAACCTTCCGCATCTGTGTGTATGAGCTCACAGACACACCTCTTTTAAGGAGACAAGGGTCACGGGGCAAAACCCCTCACCACTGCAACACCCCTCCCTACAACAGAATGAAAGAAAACTGCATAAAAGTGCCTCTGAGAGAGACTGCAAGACTGAAACCTGAGAACACAATGTAATTATAAGTTCTACAGATTACATTAAAGCAAATCATTGAAATGGAAAAAAATTTTAATAGAAAACTGTCACATTTTGTCTTCTTAGTCAAATAACGAAACATCATCTAAGTGTGAATAGAGGTAAATATAGATCTGTATGCGTTTAAACACTTTTCCCCATCACTGTTTTCTTGAATTTCTACTTCATTTAGAAGCTTTGAGTTACAAACAACTTTTATAATAACGTTCAGAATTATGGGTCAGGAAAGTATTTCAGCATGATGTTCTCTCTACAACCAGTCAAGTATTTCTACATCTATTAGGTTCTTGAAAACAAAAGTTATTACCAGTATCTACTGTGTTCAGAGAGCCAGGATATTGTACCTAGCTTTAAATAAATGTCATAAGCAATTTAAAAAATAAATTAATCTCAAAGTACTTTACAAAAGCATTCACATTATCATTTAAGGGGTAAGAAATGGTACAATCTGCAAAAGTTTTTCAAGAAGGGATCTCCAGCATAAAGCACAGTATCTGCATTGTTTGTTAGTTCGCAGAGGGCAGGCATCACATCAGATTTCTTCACAACATGTTTTTCCCCATCTTTATTCCCCGCCTCCATGCTAACAGCGGTATATACTTTTGTGAATTAAGAAAAGTTTTATAAAATGAGGGGAACATTTCAGTTTTCATTCCAGAGCTGCCAGGGCCAATTCCAAACATCTTTGTATGGAAAGCCCTGAAAGCTTTTTAAGACAGGCGGGCCCTGAGAAAAGGAGGCTCTTCTGGCATATGTGTGTGGAAAACAGCTTTGAAACCCCCTCCTCCAGTTCTGAAAATAAGCAGCATTCACGGTTAGTAGGGGTTCCGCGTTACGTGCAGACAAGAGCTTCCAGACAAGAGCTTCCAGACACGCAAAACAAGGGCAGAGTCACTAGTTTCTCATTAATCTAATTGTGGTACAGCCTGAAATGATCAGAAATTGTCTGCTGGTCACAGCTGAGCAAACTACCAGCCTGCAGGGGCACCAGCAACAATGCTCTTGTCGCTTTCTCCTGCATAGGGGTGGG